CTGTCAACCAGCACCCCCAGGTCCTTGTCCGCCGGCCAGCTCTCCAGCCACTCTTCCCCAAGCCTGTAGCGTTGCATGGGGTTGTTGTGACCCAAGTGCAGGACCCAGCACTTGGCCTCGTTGAACCTCAAACAGTTGACCCCAGCCCATCAATCCAGCGTGTCCAGATCCCTTTGCAGAGCCTTCCTACTCTCCAGCAGATCAACACTCCCACCCAACTTGGTGTCATCTGCAAACTTACTGAGGGAGCACTCGATCCCCTCACCCAGATCATCAGTAAAGATATTGAACAAGACCGGCCCCAGAACCGAGCCCTGAGGAACACCGCTTGTGACTGGCCACCAACTGGATTTAACGCCATTCACCACAACAATCTGGGCTCGGCCATCCAGGCAGTTCCTCACCCAGTGAAGAGTAAACCTGTCTAAGCCATGAGCTGCCAGTTTCTCCAGGAGAATGCTGTGGGAGATAGTGTCAAAGGCTTTACTGAATTCAGGTAGACAACATCCACAGCCTTTCCCTCATGCACTACGTGGGTCACCTGGTCATAGAAGGAGATCAGGTTGGTCAAGCAGGACCTGTCTTTCATGAACCCATGCTGGCTGGGCCTGATCCCTTGGTTGTCCTGCACATGTCCTGTGAGCGGCCTCAGGATGAACCTCTCCATAATCTTCCCCAGTACCGAGGTCAGGCTGACAGGCCTGTAGTTCCCCCGGATCCTCCTTCTGTTATCCTTTTTTCTTCAAGTTTTGTGTCACTTGTTTAGATTATTTAGACACTACAAACTAGGAAAGCTTATTTAAAATGCTTTTTTGAGGGTTAGAGTAGGTGAGGGAAGAAACTTCACAAAAATTATCATACTGAGAGTAACATCTCAAAAAAGCCTATCCAAGAGAAGGGGAGAAACGTGTGTGAATCTTGTGGCCCCAGAAAGGGTGGGGGGAGGAGGCACGAGGAAGCAAGTCAGCTGATGGAGTCAGGGTCTGAGCTAGAGAGAGAAAACTAGGTTTGGGGAGCAGGACAGGGAATTTTATGTCCAAGAGCAAACGAACCAAGAAACTTAATACAAACCCCTTGATAACTTTGTTACATGGTTTGAAGTTATATACTACTCAGTACCTTGCCTGGTGTCCTTTGACAGGCAAAGGCAAGCAGAATGCCTCACTGGATGCCTGAAGCATGCTTCTATTAAATATTTGGACTATTAGGAGTTCAGCATCATTTATTCATTTTTGACACCTGTATTGTAGTATAACATTACCTTATATTGTTACTGGTTTGGTTTCAGGTCAAAGCTATATTAATGTTTTTTAAAACAATATGTGAACTGACTTTCTTTAATAAGACCTATAAAAATGAGTACAACATCACATTTAGCTTTTAAAAGTACTGAAATACATTTGTTTCTAAAAAGAACTCGGTTTTCCACCACTTTCCATCATTCACTCAGAACTATTATTAAATAAAAAGGTGACATTGTCAGAAATTACAGCAAAAATATTGTCTAGCCCAGGTACATTTTAAATGAGAAATTTGTATGTATTCATTCGTGGCAGGGAAGGTCGATACAAGGAATGACTGTTTGTTTTGCAGGGCTGTTATGACTTGGTGACCAGTTTTATGGAAACAAATATGGGAATCATAGCTGGAGTGGCTTTTGGGATTGCATTCTCACAGGTAAGAGCATAAACACTTCCCTTCCCCCCTTTTTGCCCCTTCTCTCTTTTTCTTTACCCAGACTTCAAGGAAGGAAGGATTATGGAAAGGGACTGAACTCAGCATGCTCATTAGTCCTGAGGTCATCTGTTCATTGATTTTCTTTTTTTCAACTTAAATGAAGTTTCTCCTTGGGAATATCAGTTACGGTTGAGCTAATGACTAGCTCAAGGAAAACAACTTGTCCCTCCACTGGGTCAAATAGAGGTTAACCCAATAAAACATTGGCTTAAATGGAGCATAAACAGCTAAGAAGACAAATAGCTTATCCATTGTTTGGATAGGCTTCTATCTTCTAAGCCCTCTTATTTTTTCTTAAAGGAGTCTAGAATTCAAATAAGAGTGTACCTTCAGGCCTCCCCATCCTGGGCCTGGAGCCTGGAGGGGGCATCTGGTTTTGGTGACCAATTTTTTTTTTTTTTTTTCCTTTTAGCACTGAACACTGAGCAGAGATCTGCCAGAATCAGATTATTAAACCAACTCCTTGCCTGCACCAAAAGGAGTGTGGCATGGGAGTGACAAGAGGAGGGCTAAAAAGGTGTTTGCTGCTCCCTGATATTCAAACTGTCTTCACCTAGACAGGAGCTGGGGAAACTAAAGGTCTGGTCAGAATCTTCTGATCAAGAAGGGGCAGGAAAATACCTGCATCTTTCAAACAAGATGCTCCTTTATACTCATCACTTTGTGTGTGATGACAAGGACTCCTGGAAACATGGAAAAATGAGAGAGAGGGAAACAGGGGCAACACAAAAGTGTTTGCAGAATGGTTCAGCAAAAATGCACAGTGACATGTGTGATGTCCGTATGACGTACTTCTACCTGAGAGGCAATCTGCCTTCTTTCTGCAGAGAGTACCCAGTGCAACTGCAAATGTTGTATTCTCAAACAATCACGGACCCTTCATTTGCTTCATTCGCACAATATTAAAAATCTGGGTCCTGAGGCAACACTGAAAATATGAATATATCTGTTGAATGACCTAGGTGTATCCAGTGGTTGGAAAAAATGAGGTGATAGGAAAAATTATTTGACTTCTTAAAACTCATGAATTCAGTTAGTGAGCTGCAGGTTTACACTGTGCTACACTGGAAACAAGTGATTTGCCAGTACTGTTGCCACTGTTGGGCAAGTGAATTTAATGGGAGGGCTGTGGCTGCCCTCTTGCCCCTGCTGCCCCATGTGATCAGCCCGTGCTCTGCTGAGCAGTGTTTTAGTCACATCTCTCTGAGGTTTAATTTGCTCAACAGTTAAAATTGCCTCCAGGTTCTTCAGAGTAGCTGCCCCCAAGCTGTGTGGAAAATGGCCACCACATCCTCTCTTGGTCAACATACGCATAACCCAATGGACCCCTAAAACTCTTGGGCTCAGACCAGCTGACTGTCCTGCCTGGGGCATATCGGGAGACCTGATGCCTTCTAACTTGGTGTTAGACGTGAGAAGCCCATGATTTGGCCTGTCAGCCTGTTTCATGTGGGCATAAGTGTTGATTCATCATACTGCCAGCCACCCAGAGCTTGTGTGTGGGTGTCAGGTCTTTGGGATCCAGAAGCAGTGAAACCACCAGTCTGGAGCTGTTGATGCATGGAGCAGGGGGAGTTTGGGCATTTTTTTAAATAGGCTATTCTAGTTCTTGTTGAAGGGTCACGGTTGTCTTGATATTCTTCTCCAACCTTGATTATGACTTGATTACTGCTATAGGACTCTGAGCTCTTATTTCAGTTTGGTTTCTAGACAGCCACAAGGCTATAAAGAATCTTTCAAAATGCTTCATATAAAACTATCCAAAAGAAAAATGGGATGAGTAGAATTTTACAATTCATATGCTGCTGGGGCAAACGCGTCAGTCAGGACCAATGCTACCTGAAAGCCTTTAATCGGTGTATTGTATGTACGATAGGCAAAGCATCATCTTATCTTGCCTGAAAGTTGTTTGCAGCTGGGAAGGAGCCTGCAGGAAGAGTGCAAGCACAAATGGACAGTATTTTGGCACGTGCCGGGATGTTTGATCTAGGTCATCAGTTGTTGGTGAGCTCGACACAGGAAGGCGGGCGGACAGTGCGGGCAGAGTGTGGCCCCTGCAACAGGAGCCCTTTGGCGCAAGGCGAGATTAGTCTGACAGGCTGCAGGCAGCCCGGGGGGGGAAGGCACTTTGCTGCTGCGTCTCCGAGTGAAAACCGAAGTATGTTTTGATGCGGCGTTGTCAGCTGGTGCTGCCTGATGGCAGCGTGCGCCCTGCTGCCAGCTGGGGATGTCGCTCCCCTGCCTAAGCGCAAGGCTCTGGCACTCCGAGTAGGTACTCAGCTGCTTGAGGTGTTTGTGAATGTGTGAAAAGGAGAAGAGAGAGGATGCAGGGGGCAAAAATGCATCTCTCCTGGGGTGTGAAGAATAGAAGGTGGCCAGTTATCATTTACTGCCTAATCTGTTTTGCTGGACCCAATTAGGGACGGTATTTACAAATTGATTTCAGGTTAACCGTGGCTGGCAATAATGCCAGGCAGTGCTCCAGCTATAGGCGAGATTTCGCTGTTCCTACTGAGAATAGGTTTAATCTGAATAAAAGACAAATTAGATCATGTTGCTCTTCTACAGTAAAGCATGCTCAAGGGCCTTCACATGATTTGTTAGGTGTTGACTAGCATGGGGAATGTGCTGATTCCCAGAAACAGGGAAAGTTAATGTAATGGCATTACACATCTTACAGGCCGGGCACAGACCCTCCAGTCAGAGTCAGAGTTTTAAAAAAAAATGCTGTGTTGCTGACATTGTCTGTACTGCTCCTCAGATTTGAAATAATAATAATAAAATACAATTTGCCTGTTCTTGGAATCAGATGCCAATGCTGACTTCCAGCTGGAATAATTTCAGTTTAGCAGGTGCTCTTCAGAGCAGCAAAATGATCACTGTGTTGTGCCCAACAGAGAGTAAAATTATGCAAGCAGCATAGACGATGAGGAGTTTTGCCAAGATAAAACTACAGCACAAGTGTTGCCTTAAGGGACACAAGAGGCAGGGTTTGGGTGGGGGTTTATAGGTTGTGGTTGCAGTAGAGTCCCTGAGTAGGGGAGTCTCAGTGCAGTGTTAAGGCCAAATTATTCCTTTTGTACAAAAGGACTGGAAGCCAGGTGCTCTCTACATGCTCAAAACCAGTTCCTGAACACACTCGGTTCCCATCGTTTGAAAATATGTTCTCATATGGCTACAGTCCCCCTCTACAGTGCGGCATCCACCTGCCTTCTTTACTTGTTAAAGTTAATGTGAGTAGCTCTGCCTGACTGTGGATGCAGTTCTGGTACAGACATCATCCACCTTTGCTGCAGCTCCTGTCTGAGTATAGGGAGGCTGAGACTTGGCCCTAGCACAGGATTACACCTCTGTCACCCCTTGCACCAAGGTTAGGGAGCGGGATCTGTATCGGGATCCAATATGTGACTTGAAATCTAATATAAGATGAATTTTGTTGCTTCTAAATACTAATCACCGTGGATTCAGCATGGAGATAGGAACTGTGCCAGAGGCATACTTCGGCACAGGAGGCTGACTCAGGTAAGTGATTTGTGACACAAAAAATTTGCTGTCTTCTAAAATAGGGACAGGGAACCTGGCTGCTTGAAGATCTGCATATTGAGAATATGGCAAGGTAGATCATTTAACTAAACAATTATTCCTGAGGGATAAAAAAATCCATTTTTAGCTTACCTGATCCACTGATGAATTCACAGTTAGTTCAACACATTTCTATTTGTAGAAATTCTCTCAAAGAATGAGAAATGGTGGACCCAAAATAAAATGGAAATTCAAATTGCACTTTAGTTTCTCTTCAGTATAATAAGATGTAATAAATATGTCGTGCAGGACGGCTTCCAGTCCAGGTTAACTCCTGCAAAATAACTATATTAAAAAGCCAGTTATCATGTTTGTGATGGGAGATAAGATTGCCAGCAAGTTGCTGTGGATGGATATCAGTGGTCAGATCTGAGATATGCATGAGATGACTGCTAGAAACCATGGAGAGATTAACAATGCATGCACTGCATTCTGCTCTCTGGAATGAGCTTTGGCCAACAGGGTGGTAGTAAAGAAGACACACTGGAGGGATACGGGTTTCCCAGTGCTCTAAGCCAAATAATTTGTCAGCAATTTCAGGTTTTCTGTGGCAAGACCAGAGTTACCAAGACAAACTCTGTTTTCTCTGTAATAGTTCAGAGGACCAAGATAATCTTAGAAAAAAGAGAAGAAAGGGGAAAAGTGGGAGAGAATACAAATGCAGAACCAAGTCTGGCATCTCAGCACCCAAAAAACCGGGACTATTAAAAATAATGAATTAATAAGTGGATAAAAGTTGAGATGGGGCACTTGAGAGACAATGGGAATGAAGGGAAATGAATGCAACTTCTAGCAGCTAGTTTCTTTGCAGGGATCTTTTTATGCCAATTCCTCAGGTTTCACAAAGAAGCCACGGGGACCTACTGCACAACAGGATAAGGGGCTTCCTCTTAAGAGCAGAGGTTGCAAGTGATCAAGCAAATGCAGAGATCAATTGGGGGTGGAGAGCACTCGTTTGTGGTTCGCAGACTGGGAGCCTCTAACCTGATTTAAATGCAGAGGATTGTAGTTATGACTGTAATGAAAGAGCACCGTGAGGAAAATTCTGCAACTTTATACAGTATTGCCTCTTCTTGGCTACTGGAGGGACAGGACTCTTGTGGTTAAATGTGGAAGTCCACACACCTTGGAAAATATGTGGTTTTTATATGTGTTCAGAGTACTTCTAAGATTTATTATTATTATAGCTCTGCTATGTCCTGGTACTAGCTAGAAATGCTGTATAAAATGCATATGCAACGGCACAATATGCATGCCATTACTTTTAAAATATAGAAGTTTAATATTATGGTACTATAACCACTTAAATGCATAAACCAGCATGTGGTCAGAGCCAAGAATTAATAAGTGGGCCAAAGATCAGAAAGGTAAATTCATGTGTAGCCTGCCATTCATCTTACAAGTGACTTGAATAAATTAAAACATCGTCACTTGCCTGCAAATACTACAAAGCTTAGACACACTGATTATTAGAGTTACAGCCTGTGTAAAACAGAAGAATACCTAATTAAAGGTAGCTGGGGATGTCTGCTACAGCTGAAGGGGGAAAGAAAGCCCATGGCTTCCTATTTGTATGGGCTGCAGCATTTTTCCCCTTGTAAACCTGATACGAGCAGCAGATTGTGGCCACGAACAATGATGGCCGTAATCTGGGTGCTTGTGATGGGAAATAATAGATATTTTGTGGCACAGGCAGAAAAAAAAAAGGAAACTTGAATATATGTATGTCGTTGGCCATCGTAGGATGAGGGAAGAACTGATTTGGGTCTGGGATGGAATTTGCACAGTGAAATAAATAGGATGAAATACTCTGTGAAGTTCATCTTAATGAAAAATGCAGTAAGGCAGAGAAGTAATCTCTCAGACCAGCTGAGGAATGTGAGAGAAGGCTGAAAGGTACCAAAAACACAGAAAAGGGATAGTGAAGTGGGTGGGACAGGGCCACCCAGAGGCACTTACTCTGTTCTGCCTCTCAGAGCACAGAGAAATACATGTGAGGGACACGCTATGGGAAATCTCATTCTCCAAAACTCGGCTGAGCTAAAGAAACATCGCACGAGTAAGCAGTGGGAGTGTTAAAGACTCTCTAGTAAACCCACAGGATGTGGTGGGGTTTCAGCAACACTTCCCAAACAGCCAAATTGATAAAATCATCCTCCTGGTGACTGGAATATTTAAGCATGGAAATACAAAGCCCAGCCAGAATATGCTGGCATCCTCATTGTTGCCGGTCTATGGACTCCTGGGCGAGTAGCACTCTGGCTACCAAATAAGCTTCCTGCTGGAACACCCGTCTAGAGGAGTTTACTAGAAAAGGCACAGATGGCTAAACTGTCTTCTAGGTATCAAGTGAGATTTTCAAAAGCTGAGGAGGGTTTTCAGCACCCACATCTCTTTTGGCAACTGTGAAAATACAGCCCCCAAAACCTAGTAGCTTAGGTTTTTACTGGAGGTGGGTCAGGAGGTGTTATCTGTGCCCCACGTCTAGTTATAACCAAGGCAGTGTCATCCTTGGTATTTGGTGGCAAAATTGGGGGTTGCATGTGGGGGACGATGGGGATTCATACTGCTTTTAAAGATGACTTTAAGCCCTTTTGAGATGACCAGAGCAGTCCTGCTGGACACTGAAACAGGAGAGGGAGCAAATTTCTAGCAAATGAAGCATGTCCTGACCAGAAACGTGGCATCTTAGGGGCAGAAAACAGTTCACCTGGATTTCAGGTACCCTGGTGTCGTGGTTTAGCCCCAACCGGCAACTAAGCACCACATAGCCTCTCGCTCGCTGCCCCACGGTGGGACAGGGGAGAGAATTGGAAGAGTAAAAGTGAGGAAATTCATGGTTTGATATAAAGACAGTTTAATAAGTAAAGCAAAAGCCGCGCACGCAAGCAAAGCAAAACAAGGAATCCATTCACCACTCCCCATGGGCAGGCATCTCCAGGGAAGCAGGGCTGCATCACGCATAGTGGTTTCTTGGGAAGACAAATGCCATCACTCCGAGCACCTGGCTTGGTCTTGCTCTGGGCTGATGCCAGCCCAAATCAAGCAGTTGGCTGGTAGAGAAGACATATATTTCGGTGATGATCGCATTAACAGGGAGCGCTGACGGTCTAGGGGAAAGGGCACGCAATCCCAAACGCGAAAGAGAAGAAGGAGCCAGTTTGGACGAGCAGCCGGCCAGGCGTTATCTACGCATGCTCTGCGGGGTCTGAGGGAGCTCCCCTGCTGCCGAAAGGTTGTGATCCCCCTCCTCAAGCACTGCTCCCTTCCGATGCACTCTGCTCACAGCAGAAGGAGACGGGCAGAGGCGTCCCCTCCCGCGGGTGTGGGGGAGCCAGCCAAAAGCAGCTGTGACACCCCTTGCTTGGAGCCAGCTCCAGGGAAGGCTGGTCTGTCTGCAGAGACGGCCTTCTCGCCTCACCCCCATAGCCAGGGATGAGCTGTAGCAGTCTGGACATGCTCATGAGTTAATTAATTGACCAATCCAAATGAGAAAAGGGAGGCTGAGTTATTTATAGTATATTAACGCTTGTTGGCGTACGCAGGAAACGCTAACAAACTGCAATAGGCAAAACATTGAAATGACTGAGTGCTTATTGACGAGTGGAAGCCAGGGATCTGTTTTCAATAATCTGAGTGACAGCCAAGGGAATAGTCAAAGACTTTTTTTTTTAAATTTATTTCCAGATTTATAACGCTTATTTCTCCGGTCCTGCATCATTTGTAAAGAAAGCGTAATCACTCTGGGGCAGTAGGAAGCTTTTCCCCAGCACACTGTCAACACAGTTAAGGGGGCCGCCAGCTCTCGGTGGTGGTGGGTGGTGGCGAGGGACCCAGGTGGAGCTTGCGAGTGAAACGCAGCCGGTAGTGTGCTGACACCCCCGCCAGTTTACCCATCCACCTCTGACTTGGCCAGGCAATGACACTGGAGCTGAAAAGTAGCAAAAAGGCATGCTGTCTATCAAATAAATATGCTCCGATAGCAATCATGAGGGAGGTCTGGCAAAGAAAGTTGGGAGCTTTTAATGCTGTTTTTCTGATTAGAGCGGTCCTTAAAATAAGGCATAAATTTTGTAGTGCATAATAGCTCCAGAACATGAAATCTTTGCTCACCATGGCCTGTGCTTTGCTCTGCATTCATTTAACTTAACAACTTCTGTTCTACTTCTGTTCTTGTCCGGAACAGTTGATCGGGATGCTGCTGGCATGCTGTCTGTCCCGGTTTATTACTGCTAACCAGTACGAGATGGTGTAACAAGGTGAGTTTTCTCCACTTTCCATGTGGTATGCTATATACACCCCAGTATATATGTCATGGCTGTGCTGCTTCTGCTGAAGACAGCGGGCAAGTTTTAGATGCTCAGTGTGTTCCTCAGGAATTAAGTCTTCCCATGGGATTCTTTGCTTTGGGATTTTCGTCTCAATATTCTGTCTGGTGGGTAAAAGGGTCGAGGGGCGGGGGAAAGGCATTGTTGAACGTTTTGTCATTTCAGTTTTCTTCTTGAGAAGAGAGGACAAAATACCTGCCATGAACACTGTTAACAACCAGAGCAACCCACCTTTTTTTTAATCCCCCCTGCTCTCTAGTCTTTCAGGAGTGTGAAGTCCAGAGCCTGTCTGAAGGTCAGGAGCTGCAGAATTGGAGAAAGACTGACACGAATGTTATAGCACACACTGTCTCTCGCACGCACGCACGCACACCCACACCCCCACAAGCAAGCCCGTGCGCGCGCACACTTGCACCCCACCTCCCGAACTCTGTCCCATGCGTAGTGTACCATTCTGTGAAGTACCGCGGTGCCACCGAGAGCAGCCGAGTCCCCTCGGCCTCTGGACCCAGACCCCATCCCCGCGGCTCGGCATAGGACGGCACCGTATGTATGTTCTTGGTCACGCAGTAGTTGCATTGTAAGTTAACAAAGGTAATTCATTAACAGCATTGATCGGGCTGTGCATGTAGTGACTGGAGGGCATAATTAGCCTTTCACCATGGTTAATAAGTGTTGCACACGTTCATATAAACCGGTATATGAAATATATATATTCTTTTGGTTTTATCTTAATTTCGTGTTTTGTTTATTGCTTTACTAAGGTTTTCATCCTTTCCCCCTTCCCTGCGCCTGCCCCCTTCCCCAAAAACAAAGGAATCAGTAACATAACGTAAAGATACTTGAAAATGATGTTAAAATGTTGTGCTTGAAGGGAACCGTTACTCCTGATGTTCTTCTACATCTTTGATTCTTACTCAGTGTTGTATGCCTAGTGCGTATCCCGGTAGGCTTTGTCTAGTGCATTTTGCCTCTGAACCCGATCCTGTGTAATACTGTTATTAAGCTGTGTTGTTGCTTACTGTGAAGGCAGGAATTTTGCTTCCTTTATTTTTATTAGGTAGTTATGAACTAATTGAACTGTGCTGTACTGCGGCCTTCATACTTTTTTCCTGTTCTTTCTTTTTCTTTCTTTTTGCATTGAGGTTGCAGTCACCAAATACATTGTTGAAACAAATCGAAATAAAAACACACACACACAAATAAAAAAAATCACAAAAAAACAGGCATATGAAATATTTTTGGGGGAAAGCAAAAGTTTAAAAACCTTTTTAAAAAAATAGAACTTTTTTAATAATGCCTCTGTCTAGCATGCCAACGAGAATGCATTGATATTGTGAGTATTTGTGATATACGTATTAATAAATGGAACCATTACAGATTTCTAGCCGCTTCCTTTTTGTTCTTTAGTCATAACAAAACTCTTTCAAGGGGGGAAGTGAACATGAAACACAAGTGCACAGCTTGGAGTGACATGTCTTTATGCATATTTTAACAACTAACTCACTTGTGGCAGAAAAATGTTGCTACCCTGGGGAAAAAAGAGAGCGAGCTGGAATTGTTTCAAAACTCCTAGAAAAACCTTCCACAGCTGGTTTCACCACGTGAGAAATACATACCCTCTGCTTTGCAATTTTTCTTCTTGTGACTGATAACATTCTGCAGTGTTTAATTACCCTTTCTTTAGTGCCACACGTGATTTTGGTATTAAGCATTTCTCTCCAATTTTGGTGAGGGTGGGGAGAAGAGGGATTTGGGGTTGAGGGCGGTGGGTAATAGCCATCTCTGCTGCATTCGTGGAAAGGCGGGCACTTATCTCTTCCTCATTTGAATACATGGAGTGTTGAAGGCCTGATAGAAAGCCCCTGGAGGTTTAAACCTGGAAGTTTCGGACAGAGCCCCTTTGGACAGAGAAGAAGACTTGAGGCGGGAAGCCCTGCAGCCTTCCGGCTGTGGAAGAGCCGCACAGCGCCTGTGTTGGCACAGCCCGTACAGCTGTCGGAGTCCCAGCCCATCCTCCGTCCGTCTGTCCATCCATCCGTCAGTGCCACCCACCCGGTTACCGCATCCCTCCACCCGGGGAGGACTGCCCTGCGTGGTGCCTCCCGCACCAGCTCCCGAGGGACCTCGGCGTGGTGCTGGCGCGGTCGCTGCACTCTCACCCGCAACTGTAGAAGGGCTTGCAGCCGCACAGGCAAAACCCTGTTGGCGTACGCCGAGGCGGCATGTCTTAAAAACCCTGGTGGCTTCTTCGCCTTTATTCAGAGAGCGCTTCCAGCGCAGGGAGGAGAAACAGAGATTTGTAAATAAGAGAAGAGGAAGCTGGTCCACAAATTTAAATCTGCCCTCAGTAAAGCATCTGCCATGAGGAAGCGGGCCATTTTTAAAGGTGGAGAACGCCAAAACATGGCTCGCATAAATGCTGGGCAGTTCATGTGTACTTTGCTGGGGACAAAGCCACCGGGCGTGGGCCGCAGCGCTCACATTTGCAGTCCCCTCTCAGGGCTGAAGAACGGTCGCAGCCGCTCACTCGGTTGCTGTGGCTACGCGATGCTGGAGCAGTGCCCTTCTCCCGCCAGCGCAGGAAGTTCACGGGGGGATGTTTTTCCACTCCAGAAAGAACTGGCCCACCAGCCGCCCCAGTTTCCCTCTCCTATTCATCCCCAGGGAGGTCTCCCCTGCCCCATGGAGGGGAGGGAGTGGGGCGAGCCTGCCGCCTCCTCCCTCGGCGACCTTCCGGAGTGGAAAAGCCCTAGCCTATCCTCGGTTTTCTTTGCTTTTTTTTTTCCTTTTTCCTGAAAGAAAGAGTTGTTTGTGCCAAGAGCTGTTTCTTTTGAAGATGCTGATGTTGGGTGACAGGTCAGCAGGCCCCCAAACCACTCCAGCTTGCCCGTGCCCATTCAGTGAAGCACGCGCTTGGCTTTAAGGCGTAAGCGGTGAATTAAGTCCATTCAGCAAAGCCCTTCGGTGCGTGCACAATTGTTTCCCTCAGCCCAGCAGCACTGCTGCTTCTATGGGGTAGGTGTGTTAATTGGGCTCTCGACAGCTTCCGGGGAGAGGTTCAGGCTCCTGGTGAAGGACCCTCCAGGGGCTTCCCCGG